GAGATATATCTAGCTGTTATTGGTGAGATGTGAAACTGTTTAATTTAGATGGACAACAACATTAACTTCTCTTTGCATACTATTGCGGATCATCTCATAATGTAATATTCTGTTCTCATGGTAGCATAGGAAATCATGTTTCTTTTGCGACATATGTATGTCTCTCTGCCTTAATAGTATGTATGTATATATCCATACGTGCGCATGGATCTTTAATATAATATTCCATTCCCATGGCATCGTAGGAGATTTGCATGCAATTGATTCAGCTATTTCCTATTTTTCTAACTTGAAAATTTCATTTGTTGTTAAAATTTTCTTTTGGAAATTATGTGATGGCATTTTTTGTGTTTATCAATTAGCATGTATATGCAATTGAGCATTTGTGGTAGTGGATAATCCAAAACGACACACTTATCGATATCTTTTACGCCTTATTAACAGTCCTTGGATTCCCAATTACTTTCTTGAGTTGATAAGAAAAGTTAGACAGAAACTTTACAAATTTACTAAAAAGTTCATCCTGCTTACCTAGTCCTTAATGAATGGAGTGCCTGTATGGTTTTGAGCAATTGTGTTACTAAATGTTTTAATTTGTTCAAGTATAATATAAATCCTAATACATAAACTTTTCTTGAACCTTCATGTTAGGTATCATCACCATCTAAGTCATTTTTTCATGTTGAGTTTAACGCTTGAGAAATTTTCTCACTTTTTTGTGTTTATCAATTAGCATGTATATGCAATTGAGCATTTGTGGTAGTGGATACTCCAAAACGACACACTTATCGATATCTCATACGCCTTATTAACAGTACTTGGATTCCCAAATACTTTCTTGAGTTGATAAGAAAAGTTAGACAGAACCTAGGCATATAGGACTAAAAAGTTCATCCTGCTTACAAGATTTTAATTTGTTCAACTATATTATCAAGTTTCCTTTCATCTCATTCCAGTTTATGTTTCATTACATATTAGCTTTATCATATGTAATGATAAAGGCAAAACATTGATACTTCTACTTTGCTCTTTTTTATTAATTGCTGTTATCCATTTATTTGGATACTTCTACTTTGCTGTTTTATACGAACCATAATATGAAGCCACAAGTATCAGAAAGTCTGAAACTCAGAATTTAAAAAATCAAAGCATTATGGAATTCACATATAAAATGTTGCTATAGGGCGCATAAGAAGAATCTAAATATATAAACTGAGCCCTGACATCATTAACCTTAACAACTTTCAACTCTGAGCAAAGCACACTGGTTTCTTTTAAAGACAACGTGAGCACATAACTTAAGATAAAAGTTAAAACTATACGACTTTAAAAAAGCACTACGCCTCTGTAATAAAAAAATCTTTTAAAACATCACTCTATCGAACAACTGGACATTTGGGTGGAGAAAGAATCCTTGATCAACTGTAGCTTTGAAGACGACGATGGAGACTACTTGCGGTGGAGAAAGAATCCTTGATCAACTGTAGCTTTGAAGACGACGATGGAGACTACTTGCATATGACAAGCACAAAAGCAATATGAAATTATGTATTGTAGCTTTGAAGACGACGATGGAGACTACTTGCATATGACAAGCACAAAAGCAATATGAAATTATGTAATTTTTTTTTGGAAATGTAGATGTGCTATCCTAAATCCTAAATGTAAAAAAAGATAACTTGAACAATAGACACAACAATATCATTCTGTCTGCAAATATTATCTAACAAACTCAGTCAAGTTTCCCCTTTTGTGTCTACAAATACTATCTAACAAACTCAGTCAACTTTTCCCTTTTGTGTCTGCAAATACAATCTAACAAAGTCGTCCACCACTAATTTCCTTAATTCAGCTCAAAATAAAAAAACTAATTCACCAATATTAACTAAAAGGACATAAACCATAAATTCCAAAAAAAAAATAACAATTGAATTTTTACCTATTGAAACTAACACAAGAGCAAGATGAAGACTTGAAGCAAGCCCTATTTCGGACAATCCTTGACCTATTGTTGAATTAGAACAAAATGAAATGATGGCTAATTAGAACAAAATTAAATGATTCTTTCCTTTAAAATTAGAACCAATGAGAGGAATGAAGAACAAAAAGGTGAGATGACACAACAGATATTGCGTTCTTTCTTTCACTTCCTTATCCTAAATTCAAATCAAATATCCAATCTCAACTCAAATATCTAATCCTAAATTCAAATCAAATATCCAATCTCAACTCAAAATCTAATATATAATCCTAAACTAATTTCTCCAATTCCAAAATAAAATTTCATCTTTCAATCAGATAAAGTTTTTAATTTATCTCAAATTCTACAAAGGAAGTGTCATGTGTATACTCTCGTTGAACCACATACATGCATTTTACTTCTCTATGTTTGAGTGCCTGTGTTAGTCGTCAATCAAAAGGTAGAAATAGAAGAAAGTGTCATGTGTATACTCATTGTTTGTGGTTGTTCTCTCTTCTCAGAAGTTGTTCATTATCAATTAGAAAAAGTTTGGCAATGTTTCATATATGCAATGTATGCAGTGGTTCTTTCCTTTTGGAGCTTGTCTAGTTAGTTCATGCGTGTAGCTGCAAATAAGCTTTTCCTAAATTAGACTGAGAGGATGGTAGTGGCAAATGAACTTCAGTAATGCATCTAAGATTGTAAGACATTCATACTTAATAGGATGGGTATTCAGCCGAAGGACCAGTGAAAGGGTAAATGAAACTTTACCCTTATAAAAGTCAGACCTTGGTGCTTTTCATGCCACTAACCTAAAATTGCCCAGAAAGTATTATAGAACTTGTAAATTATAGAGATTAACTTAATTGCTCACATTTAGCTTGAATACTGAAAGAAAACACCAAATTCACAAGTTTGCAAATCATGATTCACCCTATCCGATTCCAAACCAAATCAAGTTTATTACAAAACCATGATTATTGACAATTGATATGCACATGTCTCCGATTCCAAACCAAATCAAGTTTATTACAAAACCATGATTATTGACAATTGATATGCACATGTCCACTTTACATATGATCAATAATTAAAAATTTTACAAAACCATGATTATTGACAATTGATATGCACATGTCCACTTTACATATGATCAATAATTAAAAATTTAAAACAGGTTACAAGCAAATAAACTTGATTTAGCACACTTTTAACATGAGACAAACTGCATCTATTGTAAATTAAAGACTGTAAACCAAAAAATGAGCGTATTGTAACTATAACTTCAGTAAAATTTGAATGAAAAGTAGGTATATTAGAAGAAATACCTAATTTAGGAAAGAAATCACAACCGATACAGCTGTTGTTGGAATATTTAAACTCTTGTCGCTTGAAACTGTAGGAATTCAAAAATTAGGGCAAAATTATATCAAAATTTAAGGACTGAATTTAAGGACTGAAGAACTAAAAGGGGGAGTTAGGGTTTTATATAGAGGAGTGAAGACGAAGAAGAAATACCTTTCTGAATAACCAAATTCTAAAAATTGTGGAGATGAAAGCGGAAATTCTGAAGAAATACTGAGCTTTGCAAATCTCTGTAACGCTTTGGCTTCGGCGGAGAAGGGTAACCGATGAATAATACTCATCTTTGGAAACGCTTCGGCTTCGTCGGAGAAGGTAAAACGGTCAAAACTTCGGCTTCGGCGGAGAGGAAGGAGTAACCAACGTGAGAAATTTCCGAAGTTGATGTCGAATTTTCTGTATCGCTGGGAGAAATTGGGTATATTTAATTTGGTTGAAGGTTAATTTGGGGAGGGGAAAGTTTTTCAGGTACTGGCTCTTTTAAAGGGTAGATAGATAGATTATCTCTAATAATTAGTTTGATATTCTAATGAATTTTTTTGATTATTCTAAAAAAAAATTAGATTCTAAAGATTATTTTATGGATAAGTGATTTTAAAACTAACATGCTTTTCTAATGAAGTCAAAATTATGTGATAATTATATTTTAACCATAAGATTAGTTTATCATACTCCCTTTAAAAGCACGAGTTCAGGAAAATCTTTCGGTAGACAAAAATACCCTTAGAATTCAAATATTATTCTATTAAATAAGAGTAAGTTGATAAATTAATGAATTCTTATTGGATATACATAGTATGAAGATAATGATACAATTTAAATTGAAATGTAAATTTAAATAAAATTACTAAATACCAAATTTATAAATGTCTACAAAATGAAGGGCGTATATGAAAAAAAATTAATGAGACAAATAATGTCTACTCCAAAGGTCGAACCCGGAAACAACGTAGACCAACAAATGTACATAATGTGGATGAGATATTTACAAAATCTACCAAAAAAAATTAAAGAGACAAAAGTCATTCTTAAAATTATAAAAAAGAAAAATTAAGAAAAATTAAAAATCATACTCCCTTTAAAAGCATGAGTTCAGAAAAAGATTTCCATAGTCAAAATTACACTGTACTATTTTAAATATTTAATTTAAATTATAATCTATACTAATCATACTTATATCCTATGCTAAAACCCCGTGAACTATCTATAGCTCAACAATTTAAATAAGATTAATAAAATATATCAAACATCTCCGTACTATCAGTTTATTACATGATGTATTACAAAAAAACAAAAAATTTTGAAAATTAGACAAAATACTCTCAAAAGTTTAAAATTACACAAAATAAAAGCTAAAATTTTAGAACTTTGCAAATAAAAGAGTAATTGTGTGATATTTTTTCATTAAGATTTATAAATATAACTTATAATTTAAGGTTTACTATCCCTTTTTAGAATCTAAAAATACTCAAGTTGATACTGGTAAAAAATAGTAGTAATAACATATTAAAAATATCTAGTTAAATAATAAAAAATTAAAAAATATATAATAGATTAAAAATTAATGTTATTGTATAAATTAAAGTAACTGCATATAATTTTACCAATATGTTAGAACACCAAAAATACATAAGTATCATTAATTGATAGAAGACTAAATCACAAAAAACTGATAAAAGACTATAATATAATAACTTAACATTAAGTGATTATAATTTATAAATATTGATCTCTAATGGTAATAATATTTATTAGGTAAAAAATTATAAAGATTTTTTATAAATATTGATCTCTAATGGTAATAATATTTATTAGGTAAAAAATTATAAAGATTTATGTATGAAGAACTATTAGAAAATTTAGAGATATCCCTCAAAAGAATCAAGCGGTTTTCATTTCAAATGAAATTCGGAACGTCCATGAATCACTTCAATTAACACTAACATAAGTTATATTTATCAAAAAAACACCGACTGAATACCCCATGAATAATATATTGAATAACTTTGTGCTTATTAAAGAAATATTCTTCATAGAAGATAAAAGAAAAATTACTATACTTTGCGTAAGCAAAAAAATATAAAATCGACCTTTTCTTTTTCTTATATAGTATCACGACCATGGGTGTGATTTTATTTAGGGGTATGACTACTAACAAAGGATCAATTCTTAAAGACACTACCAAAGATAATGATGTAATAGCATTATTAGAATTCAAGAAAGATCTCTAAGTATAAATGTAGTATATTTCATTAGTAAAACTCTTATTAAAAGCCACTAAATATAAAATTCACCTTATATATGTCTCAAATTTATAGAGGAGATATGCATGTCATAGTAAATTGTGTCAATAATATATATCAATTCAAAGATATAACTTACTGATGAAAGAAGAGAATAGTAAGTAAACCAAGCAAACATCCATATAACACCGTAAAGAAAAAACATTATATTTTAAAGCTAATATGCAACGCTCTTTTAGAGTAATCTGCCAAGACAAAAGTATCTCCATTAAGACTCTTTATAAATACAACAAAAATTTAAATTACTAATATATACAACCATTATAACATTTGAAAGATGTATGATCTTAGAAACCTACTCTAAAATTCATATAATTAAACCTAAGAATAATTTACTAATATACAGACACACTATCGCACCTTTAAGGTAATGATAACTACCATTTATAATAGAGTTGAGCAGTAATTCTATGTTTGCAAAGGCTGCAATAAGAAAGTGGATAAAGATGTTAATAATAAGTGTCAAGATAATAAATGCTGTAGAATCACCGATGATTTAGTACCAAGGTTAAGTGATATCCCTTATTCATGAAATAAATATATCAAAATTAAATATTAATATTATAATCTAAAGCAAATTGACAATGAAAATTTTAATGTATTTAGTTCAGATCCTCATAGAAAATGACACACACAAAGCAAATGTAATATTATGACACAGTAGAAATTCTTATTGGGTGCACAACAGAAGAATTCATTGCAGAGAAAAAAATGTAGCTTCTAACCTTATTTAATTAATAAATTAAAAGAATAAAAAAATTCATATATATGAAATTAATATTTATTCTTATTAAAATAGAAAAAATCAAAGTCCGTATTGTCAGAAGTTTGTGTTGAATATAAGAAATATATTCAAATTCTTTGTGAATTTAGACTAAAAGACAAAAGATGAATGAGCCCAAAGAAAAATAACATGCTTCAGTCTCATATCAAAATCGATGTAGACGATGAAGACACTACTACTCTAGAATTAGCTAGAAAAAAGGTAAAGATGAAGAATGATTGATCTCGACTCAATAAAAATAAAATAGAAGTAACAAAAGATAATGTTTTGTGATTTGTTATAGAATAGTTTTATTTTTTAGTAAAATTAGGAATCTTTAGAAGGGATTTTCATAAACTATTTTAGTGCTTTCATATGCATATGTGGATGTTTTTATCATATAAAAATATACTAGAGTTAGCATTAATCTTCAGTTTATGATTTTTTTCATTAACCATTTTCTGTCATTTTAGCCCATTTTAAATCAATCATTTTGGCTCGTTGGCTTTATTATTCATCTTCCTTTTATAATGTAATTTTTTCAAGTGTTTTCACTTTCATAACACTATATTTCCTCGAGTCAAGCTCGGTTTCATGCCGATCCAAATGAAATAAAAATTTAGATTGGCTTTAGAAATTATATTTATCTCCTGACAATTCAACTATCAACGTATTTACACTGGATGTAGCTTATTCAAACAAATATCAAATAAATAAATAATCAAAGTGCAATCAAGAACAAATTTTAGTAGAAAATAAACCAAAAATACTTAATCAAAGTGAGCAAAGATTATTATCAAAGAATAACCGATGAGTAAATTTTATTAAGAAAATAAACAAAAAAAATACTTAATCAAAGTATTTAACCACGTGCATTGCACGTGCATAAAATCTAATATTATCTAAATATGCAAAGGTCTTATATCTCATCGAAGTGGGATATTTTATTATTTGATTACTTCATGTTTTTAACTCAATGTTCTCTTTAATTCATGCCAAATCTTAAAAGTTTATTTTTTAATAAAACATCAATGTAAGATGACTCATTCGTTGGCAAAACCTTTGTAGTTCGCATATGGGTAAAGAGAGACTTTTGGTGTCCTAATCACGCTAGAAGCGTATTACATCCTTTTTTTTATTTTTCAAATATTGTAGAAAAAATGAGAAATTATAGAGGGACTGATGGCTTGAATTTAAAATTTTAAAATAAAAACTATCTATGTACTTATTCGGCAGGCTATATTTTTTATTTTTCTATTTTAGGATATTATAAATAAAGAGGGATATTATAATGGAGGGGATAGTAGCTATCTAATTTTAAATTCTAAGTTGTAAAATAAAAGTCATACAGACCCACAATTTAAATTTCTTTTAAGTTTCAAGCTATCTAAGTAAAAAACACTCGACTCTACTTATGTAATTTTGAATTTGGAATTCAAGCAAACTATTTTTCATTTCACGCATTTATCTTCATAACACTATAGGGGAATTTAAAGGTAATATCATGTTCATTTCAATAAGTAATATACTAGAAGTCATTAGTATAAGTCATATGTATTCTCATATTCATAAAAAGTGATATATATATATAGAAAAGAAGTGACAATCCAAAGAAATTTTTTTAGTGAAATTCATTCTGAACATACATATGACCAAAGAAGTAACTCATATATAAGGACCAAAGAAATCAAATATGCAAATAATAAAAATAAGACCTCTAGCCCTCTAAACTAATCATGTGGGCTCGATTCCGAATACCCGTCCATATTCATTTTTTTACATGTAAGACACACCCATGTGAGTAAGGCAAAATGCTTGTCTAATATAATACTAAAAAAAGGACATAATAACAAAATTTATAATAAAAACAAAAGCTCTCACTTCATGCAAGAAATGGAGTAAAGAGACACATGGAAATAATAATTTTGGATGTTAAAAACAATGGAGCAAGGAGTAAAACAATGCTTTTTTTTATAACCTAGCTCCAAAATCGAATCCAAGATCGTGAAAGTCATATTCGAACATCTCAAAATTTTAGGTTGCCAATGGTGGGTTAAAATAATAATTTATGTTTGTTGTGAGTAGAGGTACATTCGGTTCGGTTCTGGTTCAAATATGACGCTTACCATATCCGTATCTACTTTCTAAAGACTACTACGGATGTAGACGTACATATTTTTCAGTAAGAAAAAGTCATAACCATATCCTCATTAATTGAAACAGATACAATTTGGATATTAGAGAAACAAATACAGATGCAAATTGAATATTTGGGAAATGAACATGACTCGAATATAATAAAAAAATATCATGTTAATTCGACAGTAAGGGGCTGTTTGGTTCGTTTTTTAACTCGGGGGCTGTTTGGTTCGTTTCCTAG